CTGCAGAACTTTGCAGAGCCACCTGAACAAGCTGCCCGCTCACCTGAATTAGCTGCAGTTGCATTTACTCAGTGCCCAGAGAAATCCCAGGGCCCAGCAAGGGGCTGAGAGATGGTGAAAACTCCCATTTGTCAGGAGGATCAGAAATCCAGAAATGGAAATATACCCCTATAGCCATTACTGTCATCTGCCTTGAAGTGAATCTAGCCCTGTAGTAGGGGTTTGCTCCTGGGGAGCAGTTTAGGTGCCCACCAGTAGTGTCTGGTCCCATTGGAGCTACCCTTGGGATCTCCCCAGCTTCCTGCTGTCATTCCCAGAAGGCAGATCTTCTGTAAGCCCCGAGTTACAGCTCTCACACCTTGCAGAGCTTTGAGCTCATAGAATCTCTGGTGAAACTGGACACCTGTGCTTAAATACCTGAATTGCGTCCTGATTTCATCGTGTTTCCCAAATAAGTTTACATCTGATGTTTACCCTGCGTGGTGTAGGAAAAGGAACTGCCCCTCCTCTGCCCTTGTGGAGATCTCAGCAGTCTGCTGCTGGGAAAAGACTGGGAAAAGAAAGGGAAGGGAGAGGAGGAAGCAGAGCCCACCATCAGCACCAGCCTTGCTGCATTTGCCCTCTGACCAGGTCACGGTCCACCAGCGCTCACTCCTACTCCTGCAGTCTCTGTGTGCTTCCCACTCCTGCAGCCTCTGTCTTTGGGTACCAACTAAAGCCCAGCCTCACTCCCTCTCCTTCTGTTCCCCAACAGCTCCGGCTTCCATGGCGTGTGGTGGCAGCTTGCAGAACTTAGCAGCATTGCAGCCTTCCTGGAGGAGACCTGGAATGAACCAAGGGGTTTGGGGAGGGGAGGGGGGAGGTCAGGGCAACTTTATGGCATACCCGGGTGAGGGGAGGAGGAACATTCAACATTGCAGTTCTACTTTAGGTAGGGCAAAGAGCTTTCCCTGTGCTGAGGCCAGGTCAGGTGCATTTGCTGTTTCTTGAGAAATAAACACTCCATCTTATTTGTAAAGCTGCAGTGTTGATCCAATCAGAAATTTACTGGCAGCATCCCACACAGCTGCTGGGGTTGGCAGGCATCACTCTGCACCAAGAGAAAAAAGCAATGCCTAAAAACAGAAGGCAAAATCTCAAGAAGCACCAAATGATTTGGCCTGGCCAGTTTCTTTTTGAGTTAGGCATTGCAGTAAGTGCCTGTTTCAGGTACCTTGCAGAATGCAAAGCTGTTCGGTGACCTGAGAACATCGATAGCTGATAGCTGCCTGGCTTGACCCTTCTGGCTGAACTGAGATGGGGTTTGCACACACACTGCTGACACTGGGGGCTGGCAGTGCTTAGCTCCATCAGGGGATTCGAGGCAGAAGCTGTTGCCTGCTGTTTCGGTTCAATATCTGCAAATTGAGAGAGGAGCCAGGGAGTGCTGGGGCTGGACACTGGAGGGTTTTCCATCTCCAAAGCCCTTTCCCATATGGCGCACTTGAAAGCACTTGAAAGTCAGGAGTTGGATGTGACCAGTGACACTGGTGACAGAGGCTCAGTGGGGAAGAAGAGTAAACAGTAGGTAGAAATGCACTGGGTGCTGATCCGTCATCTACTAACCCACTAAACCCCATCCAACAGATTTTCAGTCCCTTCTTTGCAATGTAAAGGCTGCCCCGAAGGCCTTGCAGCGCTCTCTCATCTGCTGTGAGCACTTTACATCCTTGTGCTACAGTCCCTGTGATATCACGTGGGATGCACAGTACCAATCAATTTAGTCTGCCAGGAAAAAAAGAAAAAACACCCCTACCGATCTCTCAATTCACAGCCAATCCAGCCAGCAATGGGGGAAGGAAAAAAGCTGAAGTGGATAAATAGTGGGGATTTCCTCAGGATTTCATCTAGAATGGTTGCAGGCGAGCAACACAGAGGTGCTGAAAACAGCCTCCAAGCAGACAGTGGCTGCCAGGGTCATCCTGTGTGTGGTGCTGCCCTTCCAGGCAGGATCCTGGCAGCACACAAAGCCTGCAGCTCCTGTAGCTCTGCCACAGCTCCCCTGCAGTCTTCCTAAGCCCTGACATCTAATCCTAAGGGTGGGGAGCGTGTCCTTGTTGGGGGCTGTGAACTCCAGCCTGAACACTTCACCTTGCCCCTCAGATGAGCTCCTCACTCGAGCAGCAAATGCCTGACATCTCTCAGCCTACAAGGGACAGGCCAGCGGCTCTGAAAGCGCTTTGCTGGAAGCAGTACAGAGGTCTCCAGCTTCAGGAGGGCAGTGCGTGTTAGACTTGCTTGCAGCAGTAGCCTTAGAGGCAGCACATGCAGCAGCCTGCGCTGTAGAAGTAGCAGTGAAATGGAAAGGTCCTGTGAACACAGGGAGGAGCTCAGAGGTGCCTCTGTTGCAGCAGCAGAGCAGTGCTGCTCCGCACATACACGGGCAGGCACGGCTCACCACAGCTGGGTGCTGGCACAGGCTGGGGATGGCCCACAACCTCGTGCCTCCCACAGCTGTCCAGGCACCAGCAGCTGGGTGCAGGCTGCCCTCATTTCAGGGTGCTTGGAAGCCTCCCCAAGGTAGCCTCCAGCAGCACATGTGTCTGTGTGCACAGCAGAGTCAGCCCGTTCCTCGTACGAACCACGAGCCATCAGAGCAAAACCAATAAACACTGAGCTCTTAGTGCCTCCTGCCTGCTGGAACTGCTGACCTGAGCCTCGCTGCCCCTCTCTCCTTCACCTCCCCACATCCCTTCCCCACTCAGTCCACGTGTCTGGTGGCACATCGGCCGCATCCGCCTGGCCACACATCCTTGTCTGGGCACAGTGCCTGCATGTCACCAGTGGGACGTGATGCAGCAGTGAGCACCCCCTGCTGAACACCCACTCACTGTCACCTCAGCCCCATGCTGGCTCCAAGCACATCCTTGCTACTCCCCAGGCCCGCTGGCGCACATCCTGCAGCCAAGGCACAACAGCTGAGCTCGCTCCAACACCAAAGGACTCCACTGGAAGGCTGCAGCCTGCTCTGCCCCCAGAGGGAGCCCCCCACTGAGATTGGACCTCCCCCCCCACGGCAGTGAGAGCTCAAAGCTTTCCTCCTCATGCTGTGGCCCAGGGCTGCTGGCTCACATCCCCGCAAAACAGACACAAAGAGAATGCGAGCATCAGCAACAGGGCCCGAGAACATCAGACATGAGTGGGATGTGAACAGGAGACCCAACCTGGTTCTACCCCACTGCCCTGGGCTCCCTGCCTCACACTGTCCTTGCAGTGGGCCTGCCATGTTTTTTGCCTCCCCAGAGCTGTGGGTTCAGTATGAAAGACCCACGAGGGGCAGCAGGAGCTTTCTGTGTGCCCGAGCACCAGCAGAGTGCTCAGGGGTGTGAGGGGACATGGAGCAGGCTGGGACCACATGGGGGCCACCAGGAGCCGTGGCCACCTCAGGCCAGAAAGGACTGAGTTGGGTTCCCTTGGGAAAGGGATTTTCCCCTCCCAACAGTTCTACACCACCCTTTGTGCGTCAGAAGCCCTGTGATTGCATAAACACAGTGCTTCCAAAAATCACAGAACTGCAGAATCACAGAATGGCAGGGGTTGGCAGGGACCTCAAGAGATCATTGAGCCCAGCTGCCCTGCTAAAGCAGGTTCCCTACAGTAGGTCCAGCACTCCACCTCCTTTACCATAAATAATTTCTTCCAGATGTTAACACAGAACTGCCTGCGTTCAAGTTTTAGGCCATTGCTCCTTGTCCTATTGCTACACACCACTGAGAAGAACCTCATCCATTTGCCTCACATCTCCCTTTAGATATTTATGAACATGAATCAGATCCCCTCTCAGTCTTCTTTTCCCCAGGCTGAACAGAGCCCACTTACTCAGCCTTTCCTCATCAGGGAGGTGCTCCACGCCCCTCACCATCTTTGTGGCCCTGTCTTTAATGGTAAAAATGAGCAAACCCTGTCAGGAAGAACACAGGCTCACAGGACAGTCAGTTGCAATGCCTGCAGGCCAGGGCAACTGTGACACTGCAGAGCTCTGCTCAGTGCTCATCCCTGCAAGGCATGCCCCAGTGCCAGACACCATCGCTCCAGCGGCTGTGAGATGCAGCACCCCGTGCTCTCACTCCCTGTGGGCTGCCCCGCACTGCCAGGAGCATGCTGGGCTCAGCCTCTTCCCAGAACAACTGCAGTCCTTCTGGCAGAGCTTCCCCGTCATGCCGGAGCCCTGGTTTCCAGTTACAAGAAGGAGGAAAACACGGAAAACAGCAGGCTGCTGAGTCACCAGCAGGAACTCACATCTGGCTGGCAGCAGGAGCAGCACTCCAACAGCCGGGTGCTCAGCTAGCCTAGAGTGGGCCGGCCTGCTCCCAGCAACTCTGAGCCCCCCATGCTCTGCAGGCTGACCCACTCCCAGCAGCTCCAAGAAACCCATGCTCTGCAGCGGGGCCAAACCAGTGGAGAAGTCGGCACAGGGGCCTGGCAGCCCTACAGCAGGCCTGGGGGAGCAGGGCACCAGATCGGTGGGAGGAGGGTCAGGAAGCCCCTCACCAGGGAGGGGGAGCCCAGCGCCACCTGGGGGGCTGCAGGCCGGGCTGGGTGCTGTGGCACAGACGTGGCATCGGGGTGCAAGGGCTCACGGAGGTCCCACGGGAACCCTGTGCCATAGCCACCAGTGCTGGCTGCGCACAGCCACGCGGCACTGCCCGAGAGCCCTCCAAATCCAGGTTCCAACGCTGAGCTGTGCGAGGAGCGACGCACAGAGCTCCGGTGGGGCTGCGAGTCCCAGCGCGGAGAGGCAGGCGCACAGCAGACAAACATCCGTCCGCCTGTCCCTCGCCTTGGGAGAAGGAGCTCCTGGGACACGTATGTGGGGACACGGAGCTCGTGGAGCTCTAAGGCGGGTTTTTTCAGCCAGGGCCGCGTGAGGTGACACCCTTGTTCAGAGGGACATCGCCCGTCGGAGCCGCTCCGGGCCGCAGCGCAGCGCAGCCGCCCCGCCCCCCGGTGCTGCCCCGATGGCGGCGGCGGTGCGTCCGGGCAGCCAGCGGCGGTGAGTGCGGGGACGGCTCGGGGTTGTGCGGGGCTGTGCGGGGCCCCACGGCCTCATCTCTGTCCCTGTCACCCTGCGGTGGCCGCAACAGCATGGCTGCGAAGTGGGGACGAGGCAAAGCCGCCTCGCGGAGCTGAAGGGAGCTGCGCCGGCTCTGCTGCCCCGCAGACTGTGCGTCCGGCTCCGCGTCGCTTGTTGCTTGCTGTGGTTTCTTGTGGCTTTCCTTCCGTCTGCGTGCAGCCCCGAGCCGCAGCTCCCCTCTCTTTCTCTGTCCTTTAAGTGAAATGAGGAGAGAACATGGAAATGGGGCACCTGTGGGAACGGGCTGAGGGGAGAGGTGAGTTCAGCTTCCATCTCTTTGGATGCTGGGAAGCACCGAGTCTGCCGGTGGGTGCTAACGGGGGGTTTGCAGAGACCCGTGCCTGGAGTGGGAAAAGAGACCACCGTCCCTAGTAAATTCCCATGGAGACAGCTATTAGCAGTGACATCAGTGTTAAAGCTCAGGGCTGTGAAGCCTGAGATGGCTTTGTCCCACTGCAGCCACTGCAGTGAATCTTGACAAACCTCTGAAGAAAGAGAAGGGAAAATTCAAGATGCCCACACATGCAGGGCTTTTAAACCATTAAATTGCACTGCTGTGTTTCTGTGTTTCCTAACTAGATTTTGTCTTTTCTTCCCCCTTTCCCTGCCCCCACCCCGTGCCTTTTTAAGGATCTGAGCTGGGAAATCCTTGTTCAAACCATCCTCTTCTCAGTTGGATTTTTGTGGGACCGCTGCTTTGCTCACTCCCTGGAGAAGTGCCTCTTGCATCCAGGGCTCTCATCCTGGTGCCCTGCAGTGGCCCAGCAGCAGTGTCCCTCTGTGCTGCTCTGGCTGTCAGAAGGACAGTTTTCTCCTCTAGGTCAGCACTGAAGCAAATCCCGGCTATCATCATGGGAGCTGTCTGGCTGGTTGGACTGATGGGGCTTATGTACATCTGGTTTTCCAAAGTTGCTGCCCAGAGTCCCATAAAAAGCCCCAGGGACCAGAAAACAGAGCACACCCTCTTGATCAATGAAATCAACGCTGACACCCCAGGAGAGGACACTTCTGAGTTTGTGGAGCTCTATCACACCAGTGGTCAAACAGCCCCTTTGGATGGCTACTACCTGGTTTTCTACAATGGCAATGGAAACCAAGCCTACAAAGTTCTGAACCTCCAAGGCAAGGCTACTAACAGCCGAGGGTTCTTCCTCGTTGGCTCTGCCTCTGTGAAGCCAGCAATAGTTATTCCTAAGAACACCATCCAGAACGGCCCTGACGCCATCGCTGTGTATTATGGAAAAGGGAGCTACAAGGAAGGCATGAGCGTCACAGGTAAAGGACTGGTGGATGCCTTGGTGCATAAGACGAAGAAGACAGACAGAGCGGATACGCTGCTGGGGGTGCTGACCCCCGGCAGAGATGCTTTGCTGGAGGACTCCACCTTCAGGTCTATGGACGAGTCAATCGAAAGGTGCCGTGGGGCGGGCGCTCAGTGGTTCTTCCAGGTGGCCGTGCCGACCCCAGGCACAGATAACCACTGCGTCCTCACTCCTCAGCTGAACGCATCCGCCGTCCTGATCAGTGAGGTCCACGTTGCCTCTTCTTTGGAAGATTCTGAGTTCATCGAGCTCCAGGGTCCCCACTCCACCATGCTGAGGGACGTCGTCCTGGTGCTGATTGATGGTCGGACCAAAGACATTTATTTCACTATGGATGTTTATGGCAAGACTTCATTGGATGGGCTTCTCCTGATCGGCCCAGCACAAAGTGAAATCCCAGGTAAGGGCTGCACGTTGCTGGCTGCACGGAGCCGGGGGAGCTGTCTGCTGAGTCTGGGGTTGGAGGATGCTGTCTCTTTTTGTGGTGGTTTGGCGTTGTGATGGATGAATGTGAGAATTCCAGCTCGGTACTCGGTGACGGATAAAAGAGCTAATGAAAGGAAAAGGAGCTGCATAAAGCAAGTAAAATATTGGCAATTATTAAAAAAGAGAAAAAATTATTAAAAAAGAGAAAAAAAGTGAGGAGATATCTCAGGCTGCTCAAAGAGGCTGTGATGCCCTGTCCATCCCTGGAGGTGTTCAAGGCTGGGTTGGATGGGGCCCTGGGCAGCGTGGAATGGTATGAAATGTGGAGGTTGGTGGCCCTGCATGTGGTGGGGGGTTGGAGATTCGTGATCCTTGAGGTCCCTTCCAACCCTGGCCATTCTGTGATTCTGTGATTTGATACTAATATGTAAATCCATTACTTGCTGGTATCTTGTATGGTGCAGTGTCCTGAACTCATAAAGGATATATTAGGATGGGAGAGATTCAGAGAAGGTCGGGAAGGATGGCCACTGTGGGGCCCTGCTCAGAAGCAGAGGCTGTGCTCTCACCACACCGCCTGCCAGCACAGTTCCCACTTGTCCCTTCCCCTCAGTGCTCCCAGGCCACCGGAGGAGGAGGTGGAGGAAACGTCTCATTATTTTGGGCGCTCAAAAGGAGATGTTGCGGCTGGGGATGCTGACTGCAGATGCCTTGTGCAATTCTCTGACTCACCATTTGTGAGTCACGGCGTGCGTTCGTCACTCACAGATCTGGTTCCCACTTGCAATTCATGAAAGCTGAAGAACTGGGCTGTGTTGGAGTCAGCAGATGGGACAGTCCACAAAGCTGAGCAAAGCTCAGGCGAGTGCTGTGCAGGAAGGGGCAAGCTGCAGCAACTGAGGTGTGTCCTCATGATGGCAGCCCCACGATGTGTTGGTGCCCAGCCATCACAGAGCTGCATCAAGGGAGGGTTGGAGGTTGGTAGGGAAGGGTGCTGCACCTTGCTGTGCTCAGCAGCTCTCACTGGCTGGCAGAGAAGTGGCTGGGGGAAAAGGGAACACTATGCACAGGGAAGGAAATAGGGAAACCCCACCAAACTGCAGCCTTAATTCTGTCTGCTGGTATCCTGGACTCTTGCTGATTATCTGTATTCATGCAGATAATGTGTGTTTGTGAATAACAAGGATTGTTAGTGAAATGCTAGAACAAAGTACTGCTATTTTAAAATATTTTTTGTGTATTGTCAGAATAACTGCTGCCGTAAATCTTAGTTCATTTTGCAGGCATCTTTTTTGAATTAAAAATGAGCATCTGCACCTGTTTTCCTGCTTCCCTGCTCCTGCCTGAAGCAGCTTCACAGTCTGCAGCACCTGCAGAACAAGTGCTGCTCAGGATGCCCCTCTGCCCTCCTGCAGCCTGTGGAGCTGCCCGTGAACAGGGAAATCTGGGCTATGAGAGTGGGAAATGTCAGGGAGCAGAAAGGTGTTGAGTATCCCACTTGTTTTCTGTGTTACTGTTGAGTATCCCACTTGTTTTCTGTGTTACTGTATCTGGAGCCATGCTAGTTTCCTGTACAGGGGGAATTGCTTGTGCCTGGCTTGTGCAGCATGGTTTTTGGGGTGTCACTCTCGTATGTCTGACATGCTGTCCTTGTTCTTTTCCTTGCTGGTGTGCAGTGGACTTGGCATTCCCAGAGAACTCCACTCATCCTGTCCTCAGGGATGGCCCCAATGCCATTGCTCTCTACAGAGGCAACAGCAGCAGCTTTGCTCCAGGAAAAGCAGTGACAACAGCTGGCCTGCTGGATGCTTTCGTCTATACGAGCACTGAGGGACCGAGCCCTGAGCTGCTGGACACCCTGACACCAGGCAGACCTGCCTATAGGAGCGTGAGGTGAGAGAGAGCTTGCTGTCACAGCATTCCTTGGTGCCTGGGGTCATCCCTGCCCACGTCTTCAGCCCTCCTGAGAGCAGCCCTGACTGCCAGGAGGTTGAGGCCACCTGGGAGGTCGGGGTGTGGGTACATCTGTCTCCAGTTGGGTCCCTGCTGCCCTGTGCAAATGAGAGCTGATGGCACCTTGGGTCATCTCGCATCCCACCTGAGGTGGTGGGTTCTTGGCATCTCCACTCAGGCCCTTCTAGTACTTGAATGGAGCTTGTGAACAGGAGGGGAATTGACTTCTTACACAGTCTGATAGTGACAGGACAAGGGGGAATGGCTTTAAACCAAAAGAGGGGCAAATTAGGTGAAATGTTAGGGGAAAATTCTTCACTCAGAGGGCAATGAGATGCTGGCATAGGCTGTCCAGAGAGGTTGTGGATGCCCCATCCCTGGAGGCATTCAACCCAGGTTGGATGGGGCCCTGTGCAGTCTGATCTGGAGGTTGGCAGCCCTGTCCACAGCAGGGGGTTGGGACTAGATGAGGTCCCTTCCAACCTAAGCCATTCTGTGATTCTATTTGATTCTGTGATTTTCTGGGTGGGCATGAGAAAAGCCTGCCTGAGACTGCAGTAATCAACTGTATCAGGAAAGAGTGTGGTCCACTCACTCCTGTGGCAGTCATCACTTAATCACAGCACATTCCTATTCCTTCCTTTGCACATGTTCTTCCCACTTGTCAAATAAACCTGGACTTGTCCCATAAGGAGGTTATAGCCTTCCCCGAGGAGCTCTGTTCTATGCAGCTCCTCATAGTGGGGCTTCATCCCCTTTCCTTTGAACTGAGCTCCTGCCTAATCATTTCACCCACAAGTGTTGCATTTCCAGTTTCCCTATTGTACCCTACTGCCTTGCCAGTGCTCACAGCCTGAGCATGAGTACTAACTTATTTGTGTTCAGATCAGGCAAAAAGTGAGTTGCCAGAAGATAAAAGGAGGCCCATGCTCTTCTCTTTTTAAGGCTTAGGGATGTCTTGGGCTCCTTTTTTAGACAAGGAGGTACTGATGAGGGTGGGATGACTCTCCAGACCCCAGGAAAGGAGAAGACTTTACTCTCTGGTGAGAATTTTCCCCCTCTGGTGCAGGCAGGTGTGAGCAGTGGGTGATGAGCAGACCGGTCTCTGGCTGGCAGGTTGTGTTCTGTCTCATTCTCACATCTGTATCTTTCAGGCACCAGCTTGGAGATGTGTCCATGAGCCAGTGCAACTGCTGCTCAGTGACTCGGGACTCCTTGTCCTATATCCTCAGCAGACCCACCCCTGGCACATTCAATGATTGCCCCAGCAGACGCTTCAGTCAGACTGTTTCCTTCTGCCTTCGTGTAGCAGGTGGGTATTGGTTACCTCTGCTTCTGTAGACTGGACCTCCTGAAGAGCAGAGCATGTACTCCACGGCCAGGATATCTAGAATATCCACCCAGGGTTGTGCTGGGGTACACATAGGTACACCAAGGAAATGCAGCCAGGACGTCTGACTGTTCTCTGCTGCACTGTTATTTGTGGCCGCCCTTTCTGGGCTGAAACTCTCTACTATTCACTCCCACTCCCGGGGTGAAGTGGAGCCTTTTGGGCTTTCCAGGTGATGAACAGGAGCTGAGTTGCAGAATGTCCCAGGGACCCATGTCCCAGAATGAGCTGGAGCTGTGCCTGAGGCTGCAGTTAGCTTTGTGTTGGGTAACAGTTAGCTTTTTGTTTCCTAGAATGCCAGGAGTGGCTCCCAAAGTCAGAAGAGATCCTGGTGACTCTGGTGCAGGCCCTTGACAGATCCTGCAGTTGTGGAGTTTTTCCAGCCTACTTCAAAGGTGAGGCAGTCAGGAGTGGAGGAGCCTGAGTGCTGTCAGTGGTTACTGCTCATCTGCTTTTGATTTTTAGCCCTGGTTTTCCTTCTGGTTTGCATCCTCCTGGCTTGGATCTCAGCTAACTTGAACTCGGTTCTGATCATGAAAGTGCTGAGAGTTGGGCAGAGTGTGATGCTGTTCTGCATTGTGCTCCATCTGCAGCTCTGGCAGCCAGCACACATCAGTGCTGGTTTGCAAACGTTGAGTGTTTGCTGTCAGACTATAGAAACACAGAATCATAACTGTTGGAGAAGACCACTAAGATCATCCCGTCTGACCATCAACCCATCACCACCTTGCCCACTGAACATGTCCCTAAGTGCCACATCTACCTTTTTCTTGATGTGGCAACAGGGCCAACATCCCAGCTTGGAGACTAACTGTCCTTGTGATCCATAAGGACTGAGCCAAGTTGCAGCAGAAGTGCGAGTGGACTTACTGGTCTGCACTGTTTTTCTGGTATCCCTGCTAGATTTCTGCACAAATGGGATGGGCACATGTGGATACATGAAGAAAACAGCATGACTCTGCAGTGTGCATTGTCAGCAACAGCACTTTCAGCTCAGCATGTTTAGAGGCCCCAAAAAGATCATTCTATCTGCTGCTGGGGTTGCAAGGCTTCCAAAAGAATGAGGATGTCTGTCAGTGAGCTGTGTCATCTGGTCCCAGACTTGAGCTGCAGGGTGGTACTGGTGGTACAGGCTGCCCCACCAAACCCTTCTCTTGTGTCTGTCTGACCAGGGGACGGTGGTGGTAGATGAGGAGCTGATGAGCTTTGTGTCCCTTCCAGGTGAAAGTGCATCTTTAGAGATGTGGTGACACTGAAACAGACCTCTGCTTGCCTTGGCAGATCTGAAGGCAGCCTGCCAGGACCAGGGGCTTGTGTTCACCACCCTGCTCACTGCAAAGTCAGAAGCCCAGCTGAGCAGCCTGCTGCTTGCCTTCCAGACCTTCCTGGAGAGCCCCAGGGCTCTGAGATTTGATGAAAGGAATATCACAGCAGAAAGCTCCTGCTTCAAGGATATCCCTGCTCCAGACTTGACCCCAGGTACTGGTCATCATTCTGGTGTGTTGGGGAACGCTGTGTTTGAGGATGAGCATGTGGGCCCAGCTGTCCCAGGTTCAGCTCCTTTATTTTACTGGTGTCCATATGCAGACAAGCTGTGAGAAGCTCTGGTTCCTCTGTGTGTAGGGGACACCAACATGAGCTGGTGTGCTGTGAGGGGCAGCTCCTGTCACCTGTGGGGCATCAGGTTCATGTAGGGCTGGCACAGCCTTGGCTCCCAATGGACACTGTAAAGGCGGTTGGGAATCTCTATGTGTTGGTACAAGAGGGGAAACGTGTGTGTTGGGGTGCTGGGCAAACATCCACAGTCTTCTGCTGAATTTGGTCATTCTCCAGCAAAGCAGTGTGCAAAGCTGTGTTCTTTGCTCGGGGTGCCGTGCACAGGGCCACGTTCTGTTCATGACATTTTTGCTTTCCTAGGCGCCCCATCAGCGATACCAAAAGGAACAGCAGAGCCCTCGAGACAAGCAGGCAAACTACTTATCAACGAGGTGAACCCAGACAACCCAGGGGGAAGAGAAGACACGGAGTACATTGAACTCTTCTACACTGGACAAACATCCTTTGACCTCCAGGGATACTGGTTGGTCCTCTACAATGGCAAGACAGGACGGGCCTACCGGGTGCTGGAGCTGTCTGGACACCGCACAGACAGTCTGGGTTTCTTCCTGGTGGGAAGCAGCGCTGTGCGCCCAGCACCCATGGTCAGGCTGCCCCCAAACACCATCCAGAATGGGGCGGACGCTGTGGCTCTCTACTACAGCAGCAGCACGCGCTACGTGCTGAACATGGCTGTGACTGCCAAGGGGCTGGTGGACGCCGTGGTGTACACTTCCCGAGGGTCAGAGAAGGCAGAGCAGCTGCTCAAGGTGCTGGTGCCAGGGCAGGGCATCCTGTATGAAAATGACTCACACAGCACAGAGGATGAGTCCCTGAGCCGCTGCCACAGCCTGAGTGCTAGACAGCAGAGCAGCTTCCAGGTGGGTTGATGGCAGATGTCTGCTCTCCATCTGCAGGCACTGAGAAAGCAATGGTCGTGTTTCAGTGTGTCCCTGATTCCCACCAGGGAAAGTGGGGCATTCTGCTGAGCCATTCCACCTCCAGTGAGCTGCTGCTGTTCTCACCTGCCCTCACCTTTCTGACCCTCCTGTGTGCCTCTTGTTGGCCAGATAACAGCCCCACACCCCATGCCTCAGAACCAGGAGATCCCTGGGGCAGCTCACATGTCAACAGTCCCAAAACCTGGGAGCCTGCTTGTGGGCAGCATTCTGGAGCCTTCAGTTACCCTGAGCCACCTCTTCAGTCCCACTTGCTTGGTGCCACTCTGTAATGTGTGGCACAGCACTTCACATCCCTCAAACCCAGTTTCCCACATGCCGGTGCATGAAGGACCCTCTTTGATCACTGGCAGGATTCAATTTTAATTTGTTCCAGTTGTTCTTTTTTTTTAATGTTGAGCATCAAATAGGCCCCATGAGAGAATGCTGGCAGAGTGCATAAGTCAGATAAGGGAGGGCTGTACTGTTGCACTGCTAATGTCTGCTGGGGTCAGGCTAGCACGGGGGAACGGGTGGGAGGCAGAAGGGCAGTAGCCCTGTTGAGCCTGACCAGGGGAATACAGGCAGATGGCAGCAGCTCTTGTATGTCCTGCAGGTGACTGTGATGACACCGCTCGAGGAGAATGCCTGCAGCAGCCCCTCTGCACCATCCACAGCCACCATCCGCATCAACGAGCTGGGCCTGGCGGGCGGTGGAACCGTCCACTTCGTGGAGCTGGAAGGGCAGCCAGGGGCCAGCCTAGCTGGGCTCAGCCTACTTGTCTTCAAGGGCCAGGAGGGCAAAGTGCAACGCAGCATCACACTGAGAGGCAGCATTGGGGCATCAGGGCTGCTACTGCTGGGCAGTGAGCATGGTGAGGCAGGCAGTGTGCACAGTGGGGCAGGCACTGGGCACCGTGTGGACACCATGGGGTGGGCACTGGGCACCATGAATCAGGCTGTGGGCACTGTGGGGTGGGTCCACACTCAAGATGTTCACCCATTTATTTCACTGATATTTCCAGGTGGGACAGAGTTGGCATTCGAGGACATCTCTGCTGCTAGTGAAGGCATCAGCGCTATTGCTCTGTACAGCACCAGTTTGGTTCCTGGTGCCATGAAGGCAACATCAGAGAACCTAGTGGATGCTGTGGTGTTCACGTGCGGGCCGAGCACAGTGGGAGGACACCTGGACATCCTCGGCCGGCTGTATGCTGTGCCCTGCGGTTATGACAGGTGAGGCCACTTCTCTGGAAGATGTTCCTGGGCTCTAGGCTCCCAGAGCCTTGGCTGGCATCTCACCAAACTTGCTGCTTTGTCCTGTGCAGCCAGGTGTATTCACCAGCCTTGAGTTGGAAAGCAGATAGATGGGTAGTGTATTGCAATGGAAAATGCTTCTACTTCAGTGTAAGACAGCTCTTCCACTGCCAGGTGAATTTTGTTTAGCGAGAAATGGGGTTGAGACTTTCTCTTGGTAGGAGTGCTAGTAGAATTTCTCCTTTCCACAAAATCAGCTCTTTTAGTTAAAACTGTCCTCTGCAAGTCCTCTGCTCCACTCTCACATGGCTCGGATAGAGGTTCTGTGTTGGCAGCCTGCCCCTGGGAGCACACATGAACCAGGAGCAGCCATAGGAGCGCCCTTTTCTCAGAAAATCAAAATCTCCAGCTTCTGGCTGGCTGAAACATTGTACTGAAAGGCCTCCTCCAGAAACCAGTCCCCTTGAATAGGTTTACTATGACCAAGCCCCAGTGCAGTCCAGCTGATGGGGTCAGCTGCTCCCATCTGTCACAGCCCTGTAAAGGCTGATTTCAGCTCCAGCAAACTGTCTGTCATCCCTGGCAGTGCAGGGATTGGGAGCACTGAGGGGGGGTGTCTGGTTGGAGCCTCAAAGACAGATAAATGTCTTTGATGATGGCATTGATGTGCTTACACTGCTCTTCTGGTGGACAGGTCCGTGTCCTTGAGCCGCTGCCCCTCCAGTGATGCCAGCACAGAGCTGCAGTTTGCCATCTCAGAGCCTACCCCTGGTCTGCAGAACAGCTGTCCTCAGGGCACCTTTGCCGTGGGTCTGGACCTGTGCTTCCTGATACCCAGTAAGCAGAGCTGCGTGCCCCCACCAGAATGTGGAAGCAGTGTGGTGCAGGCCACGGCTGCCTGGGGGAGGTGAGGGGCTAGCAGGAAACCTTCCCTGCACTGTTGATGTGATGGAAAACACACCACTGTCCCAAGTTGGCACTCTTGCTCGTGGTTTTGGTGCACGCTTGTGTGAAAGTGGCTGCATGTTTCATTTGAGACGCCTGCAGGCTGCAGCTCCTGCTTGAGGTCCCACCAAATTGTATCCATGCCTGCTGAGCTTCGCTCCTGAGCTCAGGCAGGAAGCTGAGTATTTAGATCGGGAGCGTGATGGAGATGCCATCACTGGGGCTGAGCTGCACTCAAGAGGCAACCACTTCTCTTCCCACAGATTGCTCTGTGTGGATCCTGAACCATGAGAGGATGCTGGAAAGCTTGAGGAAGGCCTTGGTGAGCTCTCTGGAGGAGAAATGCTCCTGTGGTGTCTCTGAGCTCTACCTGCAAGGTTGGTGCCCCTCTACATCTCCCTGGTTTGCACCGTGCCCCCCTCAGCCACTCCACTGGGCACCAAAGGGAGGGCTGTGTTCCCATTATTCTGGAGGTCCAGGAGGGCTCACTGCCCAGCAGCCAGTCCCTTCTCAGCCCCACCTACGGGCTGCTCGTGCTGAGAGTCCACAGTGGGCTGCCTATAGGGGAAGGGCAGCCTTGAGGGAGCAAGAAATGGGAGTTTCCAGGTTAACCAAAGCATCTCGAAGCCACACATTCTTCTGTAAGTCAGGTCCAAGGGCCAGTTCTGAAGTCAGAATTCATCCAATATGTCATGGGATGGTGGAGATGGGCCTCATTACCCCTAACACGGGTGTCACACACTTTCAGAAATGGTCCTTGTCCCTTGTGCAGGGCTTCTGAGCCAGACAGCCTGGGGTGGCAGCTCTGAACTCCCCACTGAGTTGCTCATGTTGGTTATGATTTAGGACAGCTGCCTCAGAAGGGCTTTGTGAAGGGTGCCCTCAGGTGTCTGTGAGACAAACTGAATGTCCTAAACCCGCAAAGTTTAGGATAGTTCTCAACCCTTTCTCAGCCAGGCTCCTATGTTTATTTGAAGTACCTGGAGCAAAAAGTCACTTCTGGAAGTCTTAGAGCCCTACCTCTTCTCGAGGTTATGAAGAAATATTTCTTATTTATTGGCTGAGCTTGAAGGAAATTAGGGCTTTGCAATCATGCTGGCTGTCAGCTCTCCCCTGCTCTAACACTATTTGATTTCTATCAGGTTTGATGGGGCCTTGGGCAATCTGATCTGGTGCTTGGTCTAGTGGTTAGCAACCCTGCCTGTGGCAGGGGATTTGGAACTTGATGATCCTTGGGGTCCCTTTAACCCAAGCCATTCCGTGATTCTATGATTCTATGAACACATCTTTGTTCCTTTGAGCAGTTTCAGACAGTTCTGACCAGTGGGTAAAGATCATAATTTATGAAGCAGAGTTCAAAGGATTTTACTGGATTCAGAGGACAACTCCCAGCCCATTTTGTGGCTGAAAAAAGAAAAGCCAGAGCATGTGCTCAGGTTGCTTGTTATGAAGTGCGGTGTCCTACGGAGGGTGGTGAAGAGAGCATGGGGGGAGGAGGTGGTTCCTGGAGCAGGAGCAAGGTGTTCCCATGCAGCAGGTGGGCTCCCCCCTGCTCAAGGCATGCCGGTGCTTCTCTGCAGAGCTGAACCTGACGTGTGTAGACTCTGTGGTGAAGATCTCAGGTCGGATGCATGTTCCACTGCCAGAGCAGCAGCAGCCCGTGGAGAGCTGGTGCAAGGACCTCCTTGCCAGTCCCCACCGTTTTTCTGTGGATGGAAGAGAGTTGGAAACCAGCCCTGAGTGTACGGCCCAAAGAAGCACGCCGGTGTCATCGCAGAGCAGTTGTGAGTGGGAGCAGAGCTGGGCACGGGGATCAGCATACAGCACCAGCAGGGCTGGGCTCGCACATCTGGTGCTGCTGCTTACACAAAGCTGTCTTCTGGCACTGATGGGTGATGGGGAGTGGGGTAACGATGGCTGGCTGCTTCACTGTAAGGGGTGATGTCACCTTGAAGTCACCTTGAAGGAGTCACCTTGCCATCTCGGTGCCCCTGGAAGTCTGGGTGCCTGCATCTGCCGGTGGGCCTGGGGTAGCCCCATTCAAGAAGCCCCAGTGCTGGTTGCTTGAAGCCAGCCAGAGCTAGAGTTCCACAGGGTGTTTGCAGGCAGGTGGAAGAGGAGTGAGATGGGGGCTGGAGACGGCCCCCTCGTGGCACACCGTGCTGGGCAGGGTCCTGACTGCAACACCCCATCTCTGCCTTCACACCCCCAGCCTCCCTCCACAGCTGGGAGATTGCCCTGTTTGTCGTGGGAGCTCTGCTGCTCGCGCTCTTGCTGGTGGGCCTGGCGTTGCACTTCATCAAAAGGTGAGAAACCGATCCTAAGGTAACCACTGATAAAACCATGGGTGGAAGGGCTGCTCCTTGGAGCGAGCTGGAAGCGACGGATGGTTGAGGATAGGCTTGAGAGGAGACAGCTTCCATGTTACAGCACCGCTTTAAACAATTACTCGATGGCCCTAGCGTTGCTAGCAGGCTGCTTAACGTTCCGGTGGTCAAAAGCAATGTTGGTGGGTGGGTTATTTAACCAACTCAGGTGATGAAGATTCTGTGATCTTCTTTTATCACTGGCTAGGGTGCTGCCATGCAAGTGCGAGAAGAGAGGAAAGTTCTTAAATCACGTTTGAGGAATGGAAAACTCAGGAAATATTTTACAAGGGAGTGTAAAAAATACTGCCAGGTTTAGAGAGTCTCTTCCAGAAATCAGGGCAGCTTAAAGCCAATCTACTTGTGTAGGTGTTCTGCCCATTTTTCCCCACAGTGCTAACAGGCACCATGGTAAACTCAGTGATTGAAGACTGGTCATCCAGGCTTTTCATTTTAAGTGCAAAGCTGAGATGAAGAGTGAGAGCCTGGTGCCCAGACACAGGAGGGGAGATGGAACAATCATTCCCTGCTTTCTGCCAAAGAACGGAGTAGCTGATCTTTCGTTTTACTTTGTCCATTGCTTTTCAGACGTTTCCAAAATTACACCAACATTGAATTGAACGACTGCACTGAGATGGCAGCAGACTTCTAATGCTCCCAGGTACACCTACAGTGGCACAGCCACCACCACCAAGGCCAGGCTTGTGTCTGCAGGTGACAGACAAGCTGTCCAGCTCCCTCTTCCTCCAGGACCTGCAAAATCCCATGTGTGCAAAATCCCATATGCATATGTGGGTACATATACAGGTGTATGCACACACACACACACATACATACACAACATGCCTGAACTATTTTTACTCTTTTAATTTTTTACCTCAAACTAAAGGAGTTGAAAGAAACAAGCAAATTTTGTGCTGTGATGACCAGAAGGAAACCTCCTTGGCTCATGCACAGCCCTACAGCAGTGAAAGTCTTTCAGCCTCCCCTGATCCCCTCTTGTCCAGGCAAGGGAGTTCAGAGCATCATGCCTCTGAAACCCATGCTGTAGCAGTTCTGTAGCACCAACAGCTGGGGTCACCAGACTTTCTCTGCAGATAATCCATGTAGCCTTTAGGCAGCAGCCACAGACTCAGAAGCATTAGCTTCATGACTTTGTCCTCCTGTGGTGCCAGCTCACCCTGCTGTCAGTGCAGCCGTGCTAGAACACCCTGCCTTCACGAAAGGTCAGAGGAGCTCCATCCTGAACTGGCACTGTGGGTGAGGGCTTAGCCGTGCTGCTGAATGGATGCAGGGCTGGTTGGTCGGCACAGCATCATGGTTCATGTGGAGCTGAGCTGCTGCAGCATCATCAGCATTTCCTGCTGGAGCCACTGCTGATATTCCTGCTGGTGCTCCAGGTGGCACTGCCTCTCCAGCTCTGTGTGCAGTGCCTGCCTCAGCTCCTGGATCTCTGTGTGTACAGCATCCAGCTACTCAGCAATGGCATGGGAGTCAGGAGCAGCAGGAAGTGCTGCTCCTCCTCAAGAGGGAATCTTAATTTCTAGGGCTTGTGGGATTGGGCACGGCAGTCTGAGCACTGGCATCTTTGACCTGAAACAGCAGGAGGCATGAGAGAAGTGAAAAATCACCAGCTGCTCCTTCAGTGAGGTCTGGCACTTTCTTCCCCCATGCTTCTCCCAGCCTGGTCTGGACCAAGATATAGCAGGGCACCATGCAGGCCTACTCCTGTAGGCATCACAGTGCCTGCTCCAGCTGGAGCTAACAGGTCCTCTGGAACCTGCTTTGTCACGCAGCATCCTGCCTTTTTCTGCTGAAGAGCCCTGTCTAGAAGCATTGTCTTTACCACCAGGGTGGGCTCCTGGCAGGGGGCACAACCAGCCTCACCAAGATGGGTGGCATCTCTATGGGGGCAGCTGAGGTCCCTAGTGTCAGCAGCTCTGTGGAGCCGTGGGGGCATTGTCACCTGCAAAGGGCAGAAGAGAAATGCCTCAATAGGCAATCCCATCCCCAAACTTCCTAGAGGAGAGGAGCAAGGAGCCCTCGCCCTGCAGGACTGGGTGGGGACCCAGCCATGCTCCTCCCAGGGGGCTGTCCTGCAGGTGAGCCCTCACCACCCTGGCAGAGCGAGGTCATGCTGACAATCTGAATGTCCTCCTTGCTGTCCTGGCTGATGGCAGGAGTTGTGCTGGGCAGTGCACGGAGCTGTGTGCCCAGCGGCTGGGGTTGCTCAGCCACGTGTCTCTGCTCCATGGACCAGGGCTGTTCTGCACCTCAGTCAGCTACTGCTGTCTCTGGCTCCATGCTATTCTGCTTGACGAAGCGGTGGACAGCCTGTGATGTCACCTGGATGCCATCCAGCTCGAGAACATTCTTGATCTTACAGAAGTTCATCCCAGCCCTGTGCAGTCCCACAGTCTTCTTGGTGTAGTATCCAGGCATCCCATCACTCTCAGCACATATACCTAGCTGGTGCCACCACTCAACCCCACAGCACAGAGCAGAGCAGGGACACAGTGGCCACTAGACAGCACCACGCAATGCTAGGGCACTGTTAGCACTCTGCTACCAGGCTGGTGGCCATGGAGCCGTGTGATGACACAGGGCCCAGACACAGGGAACGAGGAGGGGGCTCTGGCTGGCAGAGAAACTTCTTTGCTCGCATGCTCTGTAGGGTCCCACCTGATGCCCCAGTCCCACAAGGGCATGGAGGATACTAATGGGCTTTGCTCTGCCTGATGTGAGCAGTGCATCAGAGAAGGGTGGGGAAGAAAGCAGAACAAGAGCAGGTTCGGGAGGGTGTGCATCTCTCCTGACAGACAGATGGGTTGTTGGAGGACTAGGGTGAGTAATAAACAGGGTAACTCCAAATCCACTCACAAAGCCATTCTGAGGTCTGTTATCACTCCCTGTTGTTATGACCTCCTCGGATGGCTGTGGCTGACCAGGGCAGCCCCCTTGTTTCAGACACAGCCGGGGTATCAGGGTTGTGCCAGCTCTGCGGCAGTGATGTGTGAGTGCTGCTCCTCATTGGTGGTGTGCCACCGCACTCAGACCCACGGCTGCTCAGGTCTGCAAGTGGCCATGGTGCAGCTGTGTCCCAGTGCCCAGTCTGGGCCCCCAGGACTCAGCTCTGTGGGGAGCTGGGTGCAAGTCCTGCCCAGCAGCATGTCTCTGTGGGAGTCCATCAGGTCCCTCCTGGAGCTTTGTGTCTGCTTGGTGGCAGGAAAAGCTGTGGTAAGCTGTAGCTTGGTGCCTGGGAGTCCACCCATCAGGTCTGTAGGTGCTGCTGTCTCATACCATTGAGAGAAGCAAAAGCAACCATTTATATGTCACTGTAAAGAAAGTCTGGGTACACACACATGACTGCACCTCCTGGGCTTCCCCTTCCCCATGCAGGGAATGCATGGCAAGGACAGTGGGTCACAACAGTCACACACCACATGTACATAGGAATATACTTGTAAATATGGGAACAATGCACATATACATGTGTGCGCGTCTTCTACAGCAGTGGAGGTTTTTTCCATTTTCTGTCAGCTTCGTTCACCTGCAGGCATCCTTGGAAAATCAGTCCTGCATCTGCTGCTCAGCAGACATATCAGGGGGCCTCACCTCCCCGAACAAACAGCCCCCGGAAAGCACAGCGCAGCACAATGTTTTGCAGAATACAGCTTGTACCAGGGATCACATTGGGTGGCTGCTGCCAAGCAGATGCCATCCACACATCTTCTCCAAATCCCTCTTTCACAGACCTGCACTGGTCTTGAAAAAGACCTTGACACGTTTTATGTGCCAAGAAGGTACAGAGACTGCTGCAGATCATCTACAGAAAGCCAGGGAAGAAACAGCCCTAGTTGTTTAGTTGTACTGCTTTGCATTGTACTTCTTCCATGGCGAAAAAGAGGGGCATTAACCAGATATAGACTGCACTTTGATCCAGAGTTGTTTGCAGCTAAAGGCCATCTCACACGCTGTTACACACGAGTGACCTTGTAGATGAGAGCTGCAGAGGGCAGGTGGTGGAGGTCATAGTATCAAAGAATCGTAGAATGGGTTGAAAAGGACCTCAAAGATCATCTAGTTTCAGCCCCCCCAGATACGTGCAGAGTCGCCAGCCACTAGACCAGGCTGCCCAGAGCCACATCCCACCTTTGTGGCATTTTGAAGCTGCGCTTTTGCAATAATTTGAACATCCAGAAATTACATCCCGTGTGTCTCAGGCTGCCTGCTGCAGGAGGTGGCTGGTGCTGCATGCTGGGCCCTTCCTCCTTTGCTCGCTCATCCCCAGCCCTCAGCATGTCATGCAGTGTCAGACAGCTCAGCTCCAGTTCTGGTGAAGCCTTCTCACTTTGCTGGGTAAAGAACAGGCAGGGAGGCCGGGCCCAGAGAGTGGTGGTGAATGGAGTGACAGCCAGCCGGCGACTGGTCATGAGTGCTGGTCCAGGTATTGGTATTACATTACTGGATAGGACAAGAGAGAATGCCTCAAGTTGCAGCAAGAGAAGTCCAGTTTGAGTATGTTGGAAATATCCAGGACGGTATCTCTGATAAAGCAGATTTTATTTGCAGTTGCAATGGTAACCCTCCCTGCAAACAGGAGAGCACACAGAAAACAGCATTACATCTTTTGTGCCCTATTACTCGATGCTTATCTCTTTCTCCCCTGGTTCCTCGTTGGCTGAGGACTGCAGATTCATAATCTTACCGATGCTCAACTAAACATACCTGGCTAAACTTAAATCTTTGCTGGCTAAGCATAAACCTCTAATTATTTAATTAACTTACAGCACTTTGTCCACACTTGGTCATTGTTTCTGGACATCTGCTTGTCCTTCCTTGCATAGAGATAAGCTCGGAAGGAGGATAGAGGGGAGTATCTTGATGCCTGCCTGTTGCCTCCCAGTCTTCCCACAGAGTGAGGCAGCCCAGCCTTGTGTAGAGGCCCTGGCTTCTTTGATGTTTGTAAAATCTGTTTTTCTTTTGCTGGGAGTTTCTTATCCTAACAAAACAACCCTACAATATGTTTTCTAATCCCTAGCACTATGCCCACATTGTTTGGAACATTTAAAAACTATTGCAGCTTTGCAAGAAAGAATTAATCACGGAAATCAGCAGTTATGTTTCTAAAACAGGCTGCTAAGGTATACAGTATTCCTACTTTTTACATCAACTATTTCTAAGGATAAGTTACAGAATACAAATACATTATGTTCTAATTCTTCAAATCAATTGTCCTTTTAAAGATTTAATGCAGGAACAACACTGCATTCCCACGAGTATTAGGAAAAACTTTTTCTCTGAAAGAGTGGTCAGGCATTGGAATGGGCTGGAGGAGAACATGGCAATGCCCAGATGGACACGAGCTGGCTGGAGTACTGCGTCCAGATCTGGAGCCCCCAGGCCAAGCAAGACAGGGAGCTGTTGGAGAGGGTGCAGGGGAGCCACAGAGATGATCAGGGGCTGCAGCACCTCCACTACAAAGACAGGCTGAGGGAGCTGGGCTTGTTCAGCATGGAGCAAAGAAGGCTGGGGGTGACCTCATTGCAGCCTGCAGTACCTAAAGGGAGCCTACAGACAGGAGGGGAGTCAACTCCTGAAAAGGGTGGATAACAGCAGGATGAGGGGAAATGGTTTGATGTTGAGGGAGGGCAGATTGAGGTTGGATGTCAGGGGAAGTTCTTTGCTGTGAGAGTGGTGAGGTGCTGGAACAGCTGCCCAGAGAGGCTGTGGATGCCCCGTGCATCCGTGGAGGTGTTCAAGGCCAGGTTGGATGGGGCCCTGGGCAGCCTGGGCTGGTATGAAATGGGGAGGCTGGTGGCCCTGCGTGTGGCAGGGTGCTGGAGCTTCATGATCCTTGAGGTCCCTTCCAACCCAGGCCATTCTGTGATTCTGTAACACGGAGCACTCAGACGGTGCCTTTAAGGCGCCCGACCTGCTGCCGCCTCCTCCATCCCTCCCTCCCCGTGACGTCATCACTGCTCGCCACGCGGAGGCTCTTCCCGCCCGCGCTGCGCTAATCGTGTGCGACGGGGTCGGAGCGGTGGTTGCGGAGGGCGCCGAGGATGTGAGTGGGGCGGGAGCTGATTGTCTGCGCGGGCATCGGTCGCCATCCGTCCGGCCGCCGCTCGGTGCGGCCTCGCCGCCGCTCGGGATTGCTCAGGGGAGCCGGCGGGAGCCGATGGACTGGTTATGGAGGGAGATGAGAGACAGGGATGGCGCCGCGGCCTACCGCGGCCGGGGGCGGGGAGGAAGGCGGGAGGCCGGGCCGGGGCGGAGCCGGGCCTGAGGCCTGCAGCGGAGCTGGGGCCGGGGGTCCCGCCGCCCAGCAGCGGGCGGGCAAAGCGTCGGGAGCGCCCCGCGGGTCTCACTCCGCCCGGCGCCGTACTGCAGCCTGTGAGCGGCTGAGGCCCGGCCCTGCGCTGCCCTTATAGCCGGGCGGCGGCGTTGAGAGAAGCTGCCGATTCGGGTCAGTCTTAATTCATGCGAGGAAAACTTTCCTATGCTTGACAAACAAGGGCCTATAAGCAAGTTGCAGTTCCAGGACGCGCCTGCCGGGCAAGAAGGCCTAGGGAGAGCCGAGGTCGTTGCCTTGGCTGCAGCTGTCTATGAGCATAGGTCTCCTCAGAGCTCACTGTGTGCAGGAGTGGCCGGCCTGTTAGAGTGCTCTGAGGCCAGCTGTGCTGGGCTGGGTGCTGCACGAATGCTGAGATGTTGGGGGGGTATTGGAGTTTGTTTCCATTTTAGGAAAGGAGGTGTTGCTTAGGAATGCCTTGTGTTGCTAATGCACTCATGCTGCAGTGTTATTCTTTATGGAGGTGTGTTCCAGTGAACGCCTGAGCATGTGCATGTGAAAGTGCCCAGGGGCTGCATCTCCCAGGCTGAGGTTTCCAAGTGAAACTTTCTTGGGAACGGTATATTTTAATTGGGTTAAAGAAGAACGCTGTTTAGCCTAAGGGCTGCCTGAAAGCTGCCTTTGACAGAAGTTTGCTGGATGTGTCAGCCTCATTTGGCTGTTGTGTCTGGTAAGTGCCAGCCCTGTGGGTGCACGGAAGAGTGGTGCTGCTGGCAGCTGTTTACATGCAGTGCTTCCCAGCGCTCTGGCAGCAGGCAGGGTAATGGCAAAGCACTTGTTGGTCTTCTGAGCTTTCATTTCCCATCTTGCAGCAAGGTGCAGCTGGAGCTGGCTGCCATTGGGAAATGGGTTTTGAGCTTGTGGTGTCCTGGCTGCAGTGGTGTGGGAGTGTTTGGTGTGCAGGGAGAAAAAAGACAAGCCTGAGTGGTGTGCTCAGGAGAAGAGGGCCAGGAAATGAAAATGTCAGCTGCTTTGGTCCAGAACTTGGGTGATCTTTGGAGTAGGCCAGCTGCTTTGACACAGGGACCTTTTCTAAGCTGTGGGTCTGTCATCTTTCTTACTAGAGTCAATAGCTGCTTAGGGAAAAACTGTAAAGCTGAAAATCAGGAATGTAGCGATCTCTTCCCAAAGCTGAGTGTCACTGCAGTGTAGAGGATCAAGGTGGTGATGGTCAGAACCAGAAACCAGAAGCAGCAGGACCTTGTTAGCTAATTTTGCCTTCGATGCAGCTGTTGGTGCACCAGGAACATGCAGCGTGATTACTGTGTAATGCCTCTGCTGATGCTGGCAGTTCACAGAGATGCTCGTCCCCATTCTGTATGAACTGGAGGGAGAATGGCTGTTTCTGAGTGTGGAAAGCAATAGGACAACGGCGTTTTAAACTGAGACAGGGGAGGTTTAGGTTGGATATGAGGAGGAAGTTTTTCCCCCAGAGGGCGGTGAGGCACTGGAACAGGTTGCCCAAGGAGGCTGTGGATGCCCCATCCCTGCAGGCATTCGAGGCCAGGCTGGATGTGGCTCTGGGCAGCCTGGGCTGCTGGTTGGCGACACAGGGGGTTGGAGCTGGATGAGCATCGTGGGTCTTTGCAACCCAGGCCCTGCTATGATTCTTTGTTTCCCAAGTGTTTCCTGTGTGGGTAGATACTATGTTTCACAGCAACGCATATCTGCCAAATTCTTTTCAAGGTTATTAAATATATGTGGAGGCAGCTTTGTGATCCAGATAGAATCAGCAAAATGCAGCAGCATGTTTAGATGTCACAGAGTATGTGATAGATGCACCCTCGTGTAGAAAATGCTTGAAATTGAGCTCTCAGAGTTGAGGTTCTACATGTGAGCAGTCAATACCTGTGTGTGCAGCACACTGCCATACATATTCATTCTTTTCCAAGAACTCCTGAATGTGTGCTCAAGTCCCCCTGGGCACCTGCAGTTGCATTGTGGCTGGTTATATGCCCACTTAGTTTATCCCCATTTTTTCCACTGCCAGCCTCATCACAGAGACTTTTGGTTGAGCTGTAGCTCTTTTTCCCCAATTTGGCCAAATTCCATTGCTTCTTAGGCCACAGTGAGCAACTTCCAACACAACGTGTGTGAAAATCCAAGGAAAGCATCCTTGCACGTGGTGAGATGCAGAGATCAGTAGTCTGCCATGACTGCAGTGCTGTTTGTGAAGTGGAATTAAGAGAAAACAAGGCTGATCACCCACCAAGCAAAGCAGAAATGGAAGGTTTTAGGACTAGCGCTCACTGCTTCCTTCTGCTAAACTAATATATTGCTCCTCAGACTAACGTACTGATCTCTGTTGCTGAACAAACCAGCCTGTATCACCACTCAGCAGCCATCTCTTCCTGCCTAGCATGTGTTCTGTGGCACAGAGGGACTTTGGAGGAAAGCAGAGCTTGCTCCTCAGGAGAATGAGGATGTTGGCAATAGGCAGGAGCTGCACGTGTGTCTTGTGTAGGGGATGGACGGGGGGTGTATAGGATCCTTTGTACTTCTGTGACTACCAGAATTTGTAGCTTTGAACACGCATACGAGTCCGTATGCCGTGAGGGTGTGAGCTGGCCCAGGCTGTAACTGCCAAGCAGCACTGGGCCTGGCTGCAGTGCCTGCAGACCTCACCTGTCCTCTGGTATGCTGCCGCTGCTGCACAGCAGGTCTGCTGTTCTGTGTCTGTTCATTTCTTGTTTCTGAGCGCTCTCACCTTGTCTCTTGGCTGGTCTCTGGAGTGTACTGCTCTCAATCAGGGGGCGCTTCTCAGAATTGAGGAATTGGAACTGAGATTTGACACAAGTGAGGCCCATTTGGAGCTGCTTTGGACACCTCTGCAAGGGAAATGGAGTTAATGGAAATGAAAAATGATGGGAATGAAAGAGTTTGCTAGGACTCAAGGAAAATAATAAAAAATCCAGCACTAGGTTTACTTTCCAAATTTTCAAGGCCTAATGGAAGTGGGGGTGTCGTAGGGCGCTGGGGCTTTCCCAGCAAGGGAGAGGAGTTGGAGGTGCATCTCTTTGGTGAACTTGCATATGGCAGTTTCTGTATGCTAAAGCTGTTGTCCTCAATGCTGCTGCTCTGCGACGTGAAAAGTTTTCCTTTCTTCTAAAAAGCCCCAACTTACCTGGTGCTTTAACTCTGCTCTCACGGTAATCTTGGTCACGTTTGAAGTTCCGTGTTCTGTGTTGCTGTTCTGTGCCTCGTTTGAGTGTGGTTTTCTGTTCTTGTGTGTTTTCCATATTAAACAACCCCTTCTGCCGTGTGTTCTTGAAGGGCTCCCTCACCAACCAAACGCAAGGATAGGTCTGAAGAGAAATCAAAGGACCGATCCAAGGACAAAGCAGCCACTAAGGAATCTGGTGAAAAGGATCGCGGTCGGGACAAGACGCGCAAAAGGCGCAGTGCTTCCAGTGGGAGTAGCAGCACCAGGTAGCTACCATTCCAGGCAGTAACAAGTACGTGTTTTCAGAGCCACCCGTGGTTGGCTGAATTCCATGGCTTGGACTTACACAAGCTTGGAATTGCGTTGGTCACGGTGAAGCGATTGAAGGGGTTTTGGATCGGTGAGGTGTGATTGGATCAGTGAACTATGGAGAGTCGCTTTTCATTGCTTTAACTTGCAGTTGCTTTCTGTCTCATTATCAGGAGATCTTCAGCCGTTCTTTCTCTGGGCATTCCAGTCACATTTTTCTTTCCCTCGCAGGTCCCGCTCCAGCTCCACTTCCAGCTCAGGATCCAGTTCCAGCACTGGTTCCAGCAGTGGCTCCAGCTCCTCTTCGGCCTCAAGCCGCTCTGGGAGCTCCAGCACCTCACGCAGCTCCAGTTCCAGCAGCTCCTCTGGATCCCCCAGCCCGTCCCGACGGAGGCATGACAACAGGAGGCGGTCCCGCTCCAAGTGAGTGCTCCGTGTCTTTCAGGAGTTCTAGAGAGCAGATCGACTTCCTTGTGCAGTTCAAGGTGGTGATCAAACGGGTTTTTGCCGAGGACTTCTTACTTTCTCTGTGACTCAGAGATGTGAATTTTGTTAGAATAGGCAGGTTCCTTTGGATGGCTGTCGAATCATACACGTGCCTTGTGGAGGTGAATGAGGAAAGAGTTTCTTCTAAGGGTGATTGGTACCTTCTGTATTTTGTGGAGGCAGTTTGAGTCAGTGTTCACCCACTGCAATGGGGAAATGGGGGCGCAAGATGACAGTAAAGGTGTTCACGTATTTCCTGTAAGTTGTAGTCAAGCCTGACAGGAAAGTTGGGATTGAAAATGGTGGATAGGTGTGTGTGTGTGTGTGTGTGTGTGTGTGTGTGCTGTACGTGTAAAAATGATAGGAGTGGGGAGACCAATGAAAGAGTTTTTCTGTAAGGGTGGCAGTCCAACTTGTAATGCCCACATGTTGGGTTTGGTTTTTTTTCTTTGGATAATTCTGTAAATAATTATTTAGATTGTGGAAGGCTAAAATCAATTATAATCCAGTTTGCTTTGTGTACCCTACAATTTATGGACAGTAAGATTTGGAAGAGGCATAAATACAGATATTCTGCTTGCTTGGATTTGGGGTTTTCTTTTTGGTGCTTTTTACAAATGTGGCTTGTAATTGTAAAAGCCTGCAAGCAAACTGTAACACAATTATTTAAATAATTCAGATGTGATGTTTCTTGTCTTCTGTGGTGAACAGAAGACACGCAGGTCACTAGATCCATTATTTGGCTGTGCTGTGCTTTGGTGCTCCTGGCCTTGTTTGCCTCTTTAATTGTTGTCTCGTGATGATTTTTGTTCCTGCACCTCCAGAGTTCTTTAATGCTCGCAATGATTTTGAGTAAATCCTTGATAAATCAAATTTAGTAAACCTAGCTAACCTTTAATGTATTTAAAATAAATTAAAAAAAAGCCCCTTTAATTCTAGAAGGCTGTAAAGCAAAAGCAGACAAGACAAATACAAATCTTCCTTTCTGAGAGGAGCACAGCCACCACCCTAGCAATTCCTAACTTGTAATATCTTAAGAGAAAAGCTACCTTGACAAGAAAAATGGTACTTCTCTTAAAATCGCATGCTAGAAATTGGCTTCTAGTTCTTGTCTTCTCGTTTTCCCTGGAAGCTGTAAATGTTTTCTTGTCAAAATCAGATCCAAGCCACCCAAGAGAGATGAAAAGGAGCGGAAGCGGCGCAGCCCATCGCCCAGACCTACAAAAGTGCACGTTGGGAGGCTCACTAGAAATGTCACCAAGGTAATGGCGTGCTCTCCTCTAATGCCAAGCAGGTGCTTCTGTTGTGGGTTGTGTGCTGGTGGCTTTTTTAAAGCCTTCAGTGTTTCTTTTGTTTGTGGACTGCTGCCAGAACAGTGCTGTTGGACATTCCTGCTTTGTGTCCAAATTGATGAGTGAGGAATGCTTCAGTAGAACTTCCCCAAGTCAAATTCAGTGCGGCCTTATGAGATTCAGCAGTGTTAAAAGCTCTGTGTGCTTTGTTGGTACCCCAGAGCTTGTACTTCACCTTCCTAGGAAGAAAGCTGTGTAAGTCAGTACAACAGTAGAAATCATGTGGGAGGCATTAAAGTCACCTGGGGCTTCACTAAAGGAGCTCCAGGGGAGCTGGATTGGCTGGAGCTGTCTTTGCTGGAATGTAGTTTAGAGGTGTGCAGAGGTACAGGTTTAGGGTGCAGAAAAGATGCTATTTTAAAAAAGAGATGAAGGCTTGTACCTGAGGACTTTCTATCTGAGGACACAACTTCGCTTTCCTAAAACCCCAGGAAGGTTTTCTCACTAGTGCAGCTTCTGTAGCCTGTGATGATGTTCAGCCAGGAATTCTGATAAGGTCTGGAATGATCTGAAGTAAAATAGACAGAGACATCAGTAGAGGCTGTGGTAACCCCAGTGTGCTTTCCACACCTGATTAGGGGAATGTATCTCCTGCAGGTGGCATTGATTTAAAGGTGGTTTGGTGCTGTGTGCTCTGTAGTGGCCAGACCTGCTCGGTGGGAGAGCTGCACATCCTTAAGTTCTGCTCCTTCTTGGCAGGATCACATCATGGAAATTTTTTCCACTTACGGAAAGATTAAAATGATTGACATGCCAGTTGACAGGCTAAATCCACACCTCTCTAAAGGCTACGCTTATGTGGAGTTTGAGAACCCAGATGATGCTGAGAAAGCCCTGAAACACATGGATGGAGGTGGGTGTCAAGTGCTGCAAGGAGGCTGGGTGCTTTGAAAGCAATCTTTGGAGCGGGTGGATTTGATGTGAAAATGAGATGGAGATGATGGGGTACCTTCTGGGGAGCTGATCTGATATGCTGTCATTCTGTTTTCAGTGCAGATGCCTTTGGCTTTTGTGTGGTGTCAGGGCAGATTGGAAAAAAAAAAACAAAACTATTAAAATGGTGCTTTTTTTCCAAACTGAAAATCATTTAAATTTCTGTGAAAATCCTGATCAATGTCTGATGGGGAACTGGGTTAAGAAGTCTGGTGTGCGTGTGATTTGGTCAGCAGAACTTCAGAGTGTGTGGTGGAAACAGCAGCACAGGGTTGTGTTGCTTGCGACAGAGCTGTGAATCTCCGTCGCTTGGTCTGTTGGTGCTGGAAAACGCTCCCTTTATGTTTGTGACTTTCTGAGCAGGGCAGATCGATGGGCAGGAGATCACTGCCACGGCCGTGCTGGCACCGCGGCCCAGGCCACCTCCTCGGCGCTTCAGCCCACCCAGGAGGATGCTGCCACCACCACCGATGTGGCGTCGGTCACCCCCTCGGATGAGGAGAAGGTGAGAGCTGAGCCTTGTATAATGTCTTATTTCCTTCTCACTGTAACAAGAATTTATCGCCGAGTCCCAGCATGAGGACGACTTCATCTCATTGGACCTGAGCTTCCCCTGCAATGATGGTTCAAAAAACCAAAACAAAGCACAAAAGAACAAACGAACCACCTTCTGGGCATCAGTTGAACTCAGATTGCAGTTCTTGAAAGGTTGAGGGAACTGGGCTTGTTTAACTTGGAGAAAAGAAGGCTCCAGGGAGACCTTCCAGTACTTGAAGGGAGCGTATAAACAGGAGGGGAAAGGCAACAAGGGTGGGTAGCGATAGGACAAGGGGTTTTAAACTGAGACAGGGGAGGTTTAGGTTGGATATGAGGAGGAAGTTTTTCTGCCAGAGGGTGGTGAGGCACTGGCACAGGTTGCCCAAGGAGGCTGTGGATGCCCCATCCCTGCAGGCATTCAAGGCCAGGCTGGATGTGGCTCTGGGCAGCCTGGGCTGCTGGTTGGTGACCTGCACACAGCAGGGGTTGGAACTGGATGAGCACTGTGGTTCTTTTTGACCCAAGGCATTCTGTGACTCTATGATAATTAATTGCTTAATGCCAGAGTTGACCCTGGTCTATTTCCTGAATAAAGTCCATCAGAAATGTTTAGATCCCAGCCTGTTCCCTTCTGTGTAGTGCTTTGAGGTGAAGTGGGGACAGGCTTGTGGCTGGCTAGTAGGGTGCTTTTGGCAGCCTGGTCTGGTTGCCTTTTTCAGAAGCCCTTATCTCCTTTCTGTCAGTGGGAAAATGAGAGTAAAGCAATCCTCCTGCATCAGGTGCGTGTGACCCCAAGGAGGGACCTGACACGCGTGCATCTGTCGTGTGACTCGGGGCTGCCTGAATCCTCAGGCTCCAAAAAACTTAACACTGATGTTCTCAGCATGTGGGTGAGCTCCACTATCCTGGAAACCTGCTGAAACTCTTGTCCTTACTAATGCAGTTCCTAATTTGAACCAGCTGATTGCTTCTCCATAAAGTGCTTTTTACTGCACTAAATGCTAGGTTGGATGATCTGTTTGCTTCCCTCATCTTCTACTGTCCTGTCTGGCTCTGTTAATATTCCATGCCCTCACCTTGGTGTCGTACTGATGGCTGTACAGACAACTGTAGCACTGCAGATTCTGAAGCTCAGCTATTTCTTTAGAGTTGGACTTCCTGTGAGAAGTGTGTCTGTGGTACTGTGTGACCTGTGTAAATACTGAATATTTCAGGAGCTAGAATTTCAGATGAGCCTTCCAGATGAAGGAGAATCTGATGTAGAAAGAACTTGTTTGTTGTGTGTGAGGTAGAAGATGAGATCCTTGTCTGTTATTTGGATGTGAAGCAGTCTTTCAAATTCTGAAGCAGAGGGATGGTAAAATAGCTAGAAGATTCCTCCTAGAATATTCCTGTTCGGATTGCCCTTCTGCTTTCTGGAGTTGTTGGATCTCTTTCAGAGTGATCTTTGAGATTTGTCTGGAGGATACGGAAGGAACCAATTTGCAAACACTGCAGACGTTGCTGGAAGCTGCTGTGCCTCCTAACGGAGCTCTTCTCCGTCCCTTCCTGCAGGTCCCGCTCTCCGAGGCGCAGATCTCCTGTCCGCCGGCGCTCGCGGTCCAGGTCTCCCGGACGAAGGCGCCATCGCAGCCGCTCCAGCTCCAACTCTTCACGATAAAGCAAAAAGAATGGACAGCTTTTTATTTTTTAACTTAAATTCCATGAAAATAAATATTGTACCTTTTTTTATAATGGGTCTAGGTGAGGAAGGGAGAGAGGGGGGAGAGAGGATCCTGGCAGTGAGGGTAATCCAAGAGGAGGCAGCAGCAGTTCCTGGCCGTTAGCCTCTGCTGTGGGGCTTCTAGTTTCCTGGCATTTAATTGACATTATTGAAAAATGGCTTTGATGATTTATTTTTTTTTTTTTTTTTAATTTTTTTTTAAGGCTATAAAATCAACATCTCTCCTGGATCGATGTTATGGCTTTCTCCAGTTAGCAGACTGCTGCTTGATGATTTCTAAGTGCTCAGCATGCTGTACAGATGAGCATGTAAATCTTGAGCTATTTTGGAAATGCTGCAGAATAGGGCAGGGAGGCAGTGAACCCAATTGCTGGGATTGTCAGAGTGGCTGGAGTCCGGATTACAAAATTTGTCTGAGACTTAATGAGCTGTTTGCTTTATTCCCATTCCCAAACTATGATTAGTTTCTGCATATTGACCTTGTGTAATGCATATACCACTTGAACGCTGCAGAGACAGCAGCCCAGCCTGCTGAATACTGTGCTTTAGAAAAGAAGCTGGAAATGTTAAGAACGGGTTTGTAGCTGCTGCCCTGGTTGATTCCTTCCACCTTTTCTTAAAGATTTTGGTAAGTTTCCTATTCAGTTCCTTAAGGAAATGATGCAAGTGCTTCTGCTTTTACAAATCTCCAGTTAGCAACCGATCGTCAACCCCTGCGAGGAAACTGCGAGGCAGAGCGAGGCTGGGGGCTGTGCTGCTGCCTGGGGAAAGGCAAAGAACCACCTGTTGTACAGTCAATACTATAAAGTTTTGTTGTTTTTTTCATTATTTTTGTGTCGTTTTGTATCACTTTGTAGCCTTTGGGGCCACGCTGTGTTTGTACTTGTATAGGACGAGCGACTGATAATAAAGCAGTAGAGGTGAGAACTGCCCGTCTCGCTCGTTTCCGGCCGCGCTCCTGCGCCTTTAAGAACAGCGTGGGCGGGGCCTTCTTCCGGCACTACCATTGGTGGCCACATGGCGGCCGGGAGTGGGCACGGCCTCCACCATGGCGGCCGGAAGCGGTACGATCTCCATCATGGCGGCGGCCTTGGAGAGCGCCCTGCAGGCGGCCGGGCCCGGGCTCCGTCCTGAGGCGGAGGCGGTGGAGGCCGTGCGGGCGGCCCTGGCTGCGGCGGGGGATCCAGCGGCACTCGGCGAGCGAGAGCGGGCGCGCCTCGGCGCCTTCTTGCGCAACCTGGCAGCGGGGCCGGAGGAGCCGGCCGGCCCGTGGCGGAGCCTCTTCCTGGAGGGCCCGCCCGATCTCGCCTTCAGCGCGCTGACCGACAGCCTGGCGGCCCCGCGGTCAGTGCCGCGCCTCGGGGACCGGGCAGGGGAGCGGGGGTTGAGCGGGGCTTCCCGTGGGGTCACGGAGCGGCCGTGCTGCTCGGCTCGGCGGCTCGGGGTCGCCTTTAGGGGATGGCAGAATCCAGGAGCGGTTGAGCTGGGAGGAACCTCGCAGCCCCACCCCTGTCCCGGGCTGCCTGCAGCCCACCCACGGCCGGGGTCGGGGCGCCTCGGGGCGGCGGTGCCAGCACGGCAGCCGCGCGCGCAGCTCCTTGCGGCGGGGCGGGGCGGGCACTCAGCGCAGCTCTCCTCCTTCAGCTCCGACTGGCGGCTGGCCGCGGTGCCCGAGGTGCTGGAGCGGTTCCTGCGGCAGGGCCGCCTGTCCGCGCTCATCTGGGAGCAGTGCCAGCAGCATTCCCGACCCGGCTCGGCCGAGCGGCAGGACGCGCTGCTGGGCAGGATCGTGTGTCTGCCCGACCTCGTCGGCAACAGCCTCCTGGGCCGGAGCCCCGCCGTGTTCTTCCCGCAGCATTACTTCCCTCTGCTGGGCGGCGCGGTTCTCCAGGTGCTGCACAACGTCTCTGCTTCGCTCAGAGGTGGGAATGCAGAACAGGCGCGTATAGGCGGCTCCTCTGGAGTGTTTTGTGCGTGGAGCCCTCGACTGGTGCTCGAGGTGTAAATAATGGGTGTTGTGGAGCCTTAAGTTCATCTTCTATTGTGAAGTACGTTGTGCTTTAAGAGGATAAGATACCAGGATTGAGACTGAGGCTGTTAAAAGTCCTGCTAAAAGCTGCAGCCCTGTGAACTATTAAATATCCTCATCCCTTGCCAGCTGTGAGCTAAATGAAGTGTGTGGAAGACCAGTGCAGAACCAACCACTAATGCACTCACCGTTGTGCTGAAGCAGCACTGAGCTATTCAGTGCTCTCACTCCGCCTCTGCGTGGATAATGTTGGGTTGGTTTGTACCTGAAGGCAGATGGGGAGGGAGGGGGTGGCTGAAGTCATGCCTCAAAAGAAAACTCATCTGCATTTTCAGACTTGTGGCCTGTAGGTATGTGTGTACCAGCTTTGTGTGATGCTGGTGATGATCTCGTTAAGCTTCTGTCTGTTTCATTCCAGGTGGCTTGGATTGCTCAGTCTCTTTCGTTTCACATATCCTGGGAAAGGTCTGTGTTCATGGGAGACAAAGTGAGTGTTCTACCTGACCTGGTAGCTTTGAGGTTTTATTTGTGGATCAGCACAGGCTGCTCTCTGCTTTCTGAGGCCGCTCAGCTACAGATCTGATAGATGGCGATGCTCTTCTATCATCTCATGCAAGTGTGATGTGCTCATACCTCGAAAATATGTGAGCTTTCTGCCCTTCCCCTCATCTTGCCATTTGGGGCATAACTATTAAGTGCTCTTCTAGTGCATCTAATCCAGTAACCTGAAAGTGTGTTGTAAATACCAGCAAAAATCACTCCCCATATGTAATAATCATCTCCTATGAGTAGCCTTCAGTCTCGCTTGGCTTAGGAGTTTAAAGTCACAGTAGTTGCTGACAGGGCTTCAGGGACAAGAAGGAGAGATTGCACATCTATTTACTGCAGTGAGGAATGCTTGCAAGTTTCTTAGGCTGCACGGTGTTCCCACCACAGAAAGAAAATAGAATTGCAGACTGTTCTGCTTCTCCGTCCATAAAGATCTTTATGCTTGCAGCTGACCTCAAGAAGCGTTGCAGTCCTTCTTCCCAGCTGATGTGTTTCTTTCTTTTCTCTCCTCCTTCAGAGGAAATTCTGAGCGTTTTGATGCCCCACCTCACGGATCTCACCAAGTCTGACTGCATCTGGCAAAGAATTTGCTGGCGGTTGGTTGAGTGTGTGCCAGACCGCTGGATGGAGGCAGTGGTCCTTGGTTTTGTTCAGAGAGCGCCGGGGTAAGAACTCTGTTTTCCAGCTTTTGCTCTGCTTCAGGGAGGAACTTTGCCACAGACACTTAGGACAGATGCTGGCACACACACACGTGTGTAGTCTGTTTCTTACAGTGCCATTTCGTGAGGGACCAAGGGACAAAACTGCTGATTGTTCCCCCTCAGCTAGAACCTGCACTGCTCCCTACAGGCCTGAGCCATGGCATGCAGTGAAAAAAAACATTATTTGCAATCATTGAGTGACTCGTAACATTTAGAGGTGTTCACTTCAGTGCAAATAGCTGCTCAAAGAATCTCATGTAATGAGAGGCAGTGTGACAATCCCTCCATAGATCCCTAATGTTTTGCTGTTGTTTTGCTAGGGCAGATGTCTTGTCTAGATTGCTGGGGAATCTGGTTGTGAAAAATAAGAAAGCTCAGTTTGTCGTGACACAGAAGATGCTGCTGTTGCAGTATGGCTGCACGGTAAGGGCTCTGAGCTGAACAGCAGTGAAGCAATGCCAGTCTTTGCCATAGTGCCAATTTGTTGTTGTTGGGTTTGGTTTTATTTAGCTGAGCTCCAGGTCTAGACTGTGTCTGTTCTGTATTTGTCTGGTATTGCTGGTACGAGTGCTGCATTCCTGTCCTGATTTGCCATATATTTCATCAGCAATTGCTTGTATTGCTTTTTTGTTCTTATTTTTTCCTTTTTTAATTAGTTTTTCTGTTTGAATGCTGTCAACCAGTCCTTCACATTGAAGTTTAACACACGTTCAGCATTGCTGGACGCTGACTTCATGCCCAGTTAAAGCAAGACCTGTGGTTTTCATTACAGACTGCAGTGCTGCAGAATCTTCTTGGCTATCTGTCCCTGGAGAGCCTTCGTCGTGCCTTACTGATCAAGGTAAGGTTAAGGCATGGCCTTGGTGAGGTGTCTGATTGGAAGGAATTCTACGCTATGAATGTCTGTCCGTGTGGGGTGGGGTGTTGGAACTTCCCTAAGTCACTCTTGCTGCTGCTCGTGGCAGCAATGGCAGCCCTGGGATGCAAAACCAACACGTTGTGCAAAACCAAAGACGTTCTGCACTGCTGATGCTTTTCATATTCACTTGGCAAATTGTCCTCCAGGTAGCAAAACTGCAAAGGTCTGGATTGTTACAGGTGCCCTTTGTCCTCCTCAGCTTCTCTCAGCTGACCTGGGTGACAGAAAGTGCTGGAGTTGGTTATGAGCCGTCTGTGTGCTGAATGCTTGATGCTTCAGAATCTCTTTTTCTCCCTTAACCTCAGTGGAGATACAGATCCTTTCTCTCTCCAATTTAGCAGCGTACCACCAGAACTTCCAGGAAGTTTGTATTTCTGGAAATCACCCCTGTTTTGTTATCATTTTGATGTGTTGGGTTTTGTTTGTTTGTTTGTTTGTTTTTTGCAGTGGTTACAAGCTCTAAAATGTGAGACCACTGGCAGCTGCTCTTTGAACATTGGACTGGAAACATTGTGTGATAGCAGATAATATGCAGAACAATGTATTATTGTCAGAAAGCAGTATGATACTGTGTTTAAGAAAAAGAAACGTATTTATCATTCAAAAATCTTACATTTAACAAGATATTAAAGGAAGATGGTCTGAACTTCTCAGCTGGCCAAGCGCGAGACCATTTTGGTCTCTGAAATACAAAGTTAGCACCGTGGGTAGGGAGGCTGACTGCACTGAGAGGCATTAAGACCTGTGGGCCATCCTGAGGTGTCATGTGCTGTATGACTGACATGTGGAAAAGATCTGTTTCAAGATAGTTTGGATGAACAAAGTTGTTTTTACTCTGATTCAGGTGCTGCGAGAGCTGTTGGAGACCTGGGGCAGCAGCAGTGCAGTGAAACACTCTCCAGTGGAGCAGCAGCAGTATATTAGTAAGGCCATTCTTATCTGCCTTTCTCACCTGAAGGAACCCGAAATAGAGAGCTGCAGGCAAGGTGAGGTGGCAGAAGTGAGGCATGGATGTGGTTAACAGAAGGTCTGACTGGGAAGAGAGAATGATTTGTTTTGATGTGTAGATGAACAAAACTGTCCTGTCTTCATCCTGTCAGGCTGGGTGTCCTGCTGGAATCCTTTTCCTTTAGCAGTGATACAAAGTGATTCCAAGCACAGAGCTTTAAAGTGTGAAGTTGGAGATCGGTATCTTTGAACTGAAGTTCTTAGCTGAATAGTGGCCCTAGGAACTCTTAAGTTTTGTCTCAGGAAAACTTGGATTGGTTCTGGAACTGGGTGGAGGAATCACGTGCTTAAATTGTCTTGGTGCTGGAGCATGAGTAACACTTCAAAAGAGATGGGAGGGAAGAGCACCACGAATCAGAAGCTGTTTGGCTCGGCTCTGTCCGTGTGCATTCCTGTGTTCTTCTGCTCCCTCAGTGTGCTCACTTGTTAGGTGAGTAGTGATAGTGTGTTACAGGCAAGGACTGTTTTGTAATTAGATAACATGTAGCAGAGTGGGGTTCTGGTCTGAAAATAAAACTTTTATTGCAAAAAAAGTAATATCTGTCCAATTTTTAGAGTTGCTTCTTGTCTGGCTTTGTTTTTCACTTGTTGGAAGGTTGACTTGGACAACCTGTTCTGCCATTTCAGGCTGGAGTTCATTGTGCTTCACAAGACCTGCTACTGCCTCAAGTTTTACTGTGCTCAAGTTTTATAACCTGTTTTCTCTCTGGCAGCTGCTGAA